GAGAGAGAGAGAGAGAGAGCCACAGATGGACTGAAGAGAGGCGCTCAGGCGATCGGCTCAACTTTTGAACAGCTGATCCTGAGTCTTCATGCAAGTGGAAGGGGTGGGCAAGGCCGACTATTCACGGCTCACTCTCCGAGCATTTTATGAACACACTCCCGTAGAAGCACCCGCATGCAGCCGAATCTCGATCTCATCTTGGTGCCTCTGCCTGACCTCCGTGCAACACTGAGCACACATGTTGCCTTTGTTGGATGGTTGCACACTGGGGCCTCCTGGACAAAGTCATATGCGCACAAGAAGTCCTCCCATGTGCCAGCAAGATTCACCAAAAGTTGGGATCTCCACTACAAACAAAGTCGTCAGAAACCAGAAACCGGCCTCCCTTTGTTGGTCGCTCATGGCCTGGAAAAGCGGCCCGCGCAAGATCAGCAGGTCCTGCAGTCGAGCGGACATAGTCCACAGCAGGGGAGTCTCTGGACCTGGAGTTCCTGTAAGATCTCAGGATCCTTCAGCTGGTGCTTTGCCCATTCTGCAGTCATTACCTCGATTCATCCAGAAATCTTCAATCGTCTCACACGCCCGGGCGACAGCAATCAGAGCCGCACCTGGACTTTGTTGAATTTCTTGCACCACCCCGGCACGGCACCCTGTACCACGGGTAGCGAGTGGGCTCGCGGCAAGAAGTAAACTCAAATAAAGGGCGGCGAACAAGGCAGCTGCTCCGGAAAGGTTGCCTTCTTGTCTGCCACAGCGAGAATCTCCCTGCGGAAACGCTCGGCTTCCTTCTGTGCCATCCTGCCATTGCTTGGAAGCCCCAGACAAAACACTATACTTTATCCACCAGCAGTCAGCAGCAACCGTTGAGCCACGCCTCACAGCAGATTCTGCATCATGCGGCACCGTAGCAGCCGGCAGTTGTTCTTGCCTCCTGTCAAACCACAGACAAATAAAGTTGCAGAGGCGCTTGGGCTCGCACAGCACAACACCCCGACCACGATTTGCTTTCTGATGCCATCCAGGACCATGTCGCCACAACACCCCTACTCGCGGACGAATTTGCAAAGTCAACTGAAGGAGAATGCACCTCAACACCAACACGAGAAGAACTGCCAACAGCCGGACAATCATCCGATGCATCTGCTACCGCTTCTGATGCAAACATACGAGATTTTCCCGTGCTAGCAGGCATAGCAGACAGCACAAAAAGTGGCAGAGGTAACCACAAGCTTGGGGCTCTGGCTTTGCGACAACAATCAGTCCTCGCCACCACATCTGGCGCCGCAGGCGGCAGCGCCTCCTTCAGATGCTTTCCTACAACATGAAGGCTGTCGGATCTAAAATCTGCCTACGACATGATCTTTACGAACCTCAGCTTGCGAGTCCGAGAACAATGCTAGTGGCCTCCTGGACTGCGGCTGCGTGCCTCGAGCTTCTCCAACTCTCGGCGCGCTGCCTCATTGTTGGGCTCCAACCGAAGCACCTTCAGCAACGGTGCAGTTGAGTCCTTCGTTTTTCTCCAAGGCATGCTCTCGTCAAGCCGGGCCCTATCGAAAGGACCCTCGCCTGCTCGCTCACTTGCTCGCCGTCTTGCTGTCTTGCTTGCTATGGGCATGGCGGGTATGGGTTACTTGTCCTCGTCCCAATGTTGGAGGTGCATACTGTTGCCCAACGTTCCGGGCGCTCTTTCCATTCCGACAGTCTTCCGCCGTTGTAACTACAAACCAACTCTCAATTACTGTAACCGCCCAGGCCGTGTTGCTCCGGGGCACACCTTCATTGAGGCAACTTGACCACAACTTGCAGCTTTTGTGTGCGTAGCAGCTCAGACTCTTAGAACACATGTGGTCACTCATGTGGTCAGCAGCTGATGAGCTACTCGGGTCTGACTTGGAGGGCCAAGGATGCCAAGGGACCCACGGGACCCCACACACCCCTCGCAAGCCAGCCAGCCAGCAAGCAAGCAATCAACCAAGCAAGATCAAGCAAGCAAGCAAGCAGCCGGGCCGGCCAGGCAGGCAGAGGCAGAGGCAGAGGCAGAGGCAGAGGCAGAGGCAGGCAGGCAAGCAAGAGACAACGAGACCACGTCTAAAGCCCCAACTAGGAGCCTTGGATGTGTCTCACCTCAACCGACTACGCAGCAATAACCTCGCCTGATCTGTCCGAGCGCCGAACAAGAGGAGCCCCGTGCCCGTGAGAAGGAAAGAGAGAAAGAGGGAGCCCGGTTCTGGGATTTCAGCCGTGTTCACGAGGGCTATGGGCTCTCCCAATCTTGCCGCAGGCTATAGGCTTGCTGGGCGAGGATGGCGAGGTCCTGCTCCAGGAAGAGCACCATGTTCTCCAAAATTTGTTGGGCCCGAAGTATCTGGTAAGGGGTCGATTTTCCTGTGTGTCCGTCATGTCCGGCTTCAGGGCGCTGTTTGGTTGTAGCACGAGCAGCTTGTGGCGGTTTCGCGTGTCTGTCGAAGCTGTGGGCTGAGAGGTCGAAGTCCGGGTTCTGTCCACTGCCTGTTGCCCTCTCTTGGAGACGGCGTCGCTTCTGAGGGACGGGGCTTTCCCCGGCTCTACCTCCTCTGTATCTGTTGGAGGAGGCCCTCCAAGTTCGAACTGGCGTGCCGTACCGCATCGAGCTCAGTCTGGAGGGCTTCAGCGGTAGAGGCAACTCTGCCCTCCGTGACCGCAAAAGGTGGGCAAAGCCCGCTGCTTCCGGAGCTGGGCTGAGGCTTGCATGTCTTCCAGCTCTCCCAGCGCATTGGGTTTTTTCCCCCAACTTGAGGGCCGGAGGCATGGAGAACGAAAGCTCGGTGGCTTTTATTTCCGGTAGATGTCGCCCCGACAGGGCAACGGCTCTTATCCTTGGGAGTACAGTACTAGTAGCAGTAGCAGTAGCAGCAGTGATAGCAGTGGTAGCAGTGGTAGCAGTGGTGGCAGTAGCAGTAGCAGTAGCAGTAGTAGTAGCAATAGTAGTGGTGGTAGTAGTAGTAGTAGTAGTAGCAGTAGCAGTAATAGGAGAGCAGCAGCGCCAGCAGCAGCAGCAGCAGCAGCAGCAGCAGCGGTAGTAGTGAGAGTAATAGTAGTAGTCGTGGTATTAGTTGTTGTCAGGTTGTTGTTAGTTGTAGTTGTAGAAGTCGCAGCAGCAGTAGTGGTGGTAGCAGTAGTGGCAGTAGTACCAGCAGCGCCAGCTGCAGCAGTGGTGGTGGTGGTGGTGGTGGTGGTGGTGGTTGTTCTAGTTGTAGTGTATTTGTGGTTGTCTGTTTGGTTGTTGCTGTTGTTGCTGCTTTTGCTGCCGCTGCTGCTGCTGCTGCTGCTGCTGCTGCCGCCGCCGCCTGCAAGTGCTGGTGCTGCTGCCTGCAAGTGCTGCTGCTGCTGCTGCTGCTGCCGCCGCCGCCGCCGCCGCCGCTGCTGCTGCTGCTATTGTTGCTACTGGTGTTGCCGTTGCTGCTGCTGTTGTTGATTTTGTGATGGTGATGTTGAAGTTGTTGCTGTTGTTGCTGCTGCTGTTGCTCTTGGTGTTCTTGTTGGTATTCTTGTTGCATTGCTGCTGCCGTTGCTTGTTGTTGCTTCGTGTTGCTGGATGCTGCGTGTTGCTGCTGCTGTTGCTCATTGTTGTGTGTTGTTGTTGCTGACGTTGTTTGCTATTGAATGGTTGTTGCTTGCTGTTGCTGTCTGTTGCTACACACACGCAAACGCAGAGAGACATGGCTGCGCTGCACAAACACTTCACAAACAAGTACTGATATATCAATTTAGCCCCCCCCCTCAGGAAACCAGGCTCTCGTATGAACCGTTCAATTTAGCCCCCCCCCCCTCCCGTGGCAAAACACAGGCTCTCGTATGAACCGGTCAACTTAGCCCCCCCCCCCTAAATTGATACTATCAACAGTACGCTGGTTTCTGGCCCTGGACTGCCTCCCTGCTAAAAGCAAGACTAAACTCAAGCTCTGCTACGCGAGCTTTCGTGATAAGACACCCAGCTGCTACTGATGCTACGCAAGAATCTATAAATCTTCTTCCTTGAACACCTTGCTGCTCTCGCACCTCCATCCGCGGCGGGGCTGTCACAAAGAAGCCATCGGCCTCCTCCCGAGAACGCACACATCCGAAGCGGCTTGGTTCGTTTGCGCGGGGCTTCGGGCTTTGTCGGATACCTGGCTTGGGAACGACGTGCACCCAAGGGTTGATACATTGCGCAACAGTTGACTGAATTTATCATGTTTTCCGCCTTGCACGGGCATGATTCTGACGAAAAACCTAGACGAATTCCACTGCGCTGCGGTCGCGTGGAGGAGTCGCTCTTTGGGAGCAGATGTTAGTTTGGAGTCGTTGCACGGTCAAGTTCACGTCTAGTCGCAAGCCTCTGGACTTTGACAAGGGACAACACTTGGAAGAGCCTCTTCCAGTGCTATGCGCCCACCTTACTTAATCTTAACGCTGCTACACCACCTTGCAAACAATCTTTTGCAACCCTCTCCGAAATCAATCCACACACGCCAATCACTTCCAAGCAAAATGCGCCCAACGCCCTTAAAAGTCGCACTGAGAGTCACTAAGAGCATTGAGACACCTTGTCCTGTGCCGGAGCAGCTGGTGAAGAGGCCGAGCGCTCCACACTCTCTGTGCCTGAGCGCGATCGACAATCCACATCTTAGTCCGTGCTTGGACTTTAAGTTTCACCTTAAGGTTGTCTTGGTAACCTCCGATCTGGAATAACCATGAACCGTTGAATTTGCAGCTACCCGGACCCCGAAACCCAGCCGAACCCTCTGCTACCTGATGCTGGGAATCTCCGCCTGCATCTGTGGTCGAAGAGATGCTGCTCTTGCTTCCAGCCAGGCTTCCCGCAGGCCTCCAACATGGCACCGTGCATTCATCACAGCTTTGGGTTTAGGTATTCGGGTCTTTGAATGGGGGGGTTTAGAAATCCATGAACCAAGCTTCATGGTCCTGGTGTTCGGAGCTCTCTGTTGGTCAAACTGTCTCTAGACTCTAGGTGCATGAAGATCTTGTGCTGGTCTTCGAACCAGCAGCTCTCGTGCTGGATGCTGCTTGCCTGGTGCTAATACTCTGGACTTAGGCCCAGGACTGGGAGATGTTGCCGCTTCTCACGAAAACAGCCTGTGTTTGTTGAATTTCTGGGCCCCTGACGACAGTGATTCCTACCAGCACGACCCAAAGATCGAAACAGCTCTCTTCATGTTCGCTACAGCAGGAGCACGAGAAGCAGAAGAACTAAGTAGCCGCCGTAGCCGTCTAGAAGTAGAAGTCCAGTAGGAGTAGGAGTAGGACGAGTGCGAGTAGGAGAAGGAGCAATAGCGGGGAGGCGATGCCTCTGCCGAGGCTGGTTGCGCCCAGACGGTGTGACCCAGCCCTGTGACCTTCTCTCATGCATGGATAGAGGCACCCGCTTGTTGGCTGCTAGCCGAGTCTACGAGGGCTAACACGAGCGTTCAAGCTGCTACAGTACCTGGAGCTTCAGGGTTCTGATTTCGAGCTTAGGGATCTCTTGGCAGAATCACAAGCCTAACCGGTGGAGGCTTGGACTGCAGCATTTGGGTACAGCCTCTCCTTTGGGTTGACCTGTTTAGGGCCCAGGTGAGTTCAGAAACCTTGATCTGGGGTCTGGCGAGCTTACAAGATTTTTGGCTCGCCATGTGCATGTCACTGTGCAGTTCATGCAACAGCGAATCGCTTGGGGACCCAGGGCTGCCAGGTGCAGAACCATTAAGGCGCTAAGTCCAAAGCCCGTTCCCTGAGCTCAGAACCATTTCTCCAGGCGCCGGCGCATACCAGGAGGCTCAACAGCTCATCCTGATGCTGGGCTCCAACGGCGATTAGTGTAGTTTGCAGCTGCTCGGAATACGAATGGTAGCACAAGAACCGATAGCTGTGGGGGAAAATGATTTATGTTGATAGATGCTTGTTGGCCTCCTTGCCCACAGAGTAAACAGAATATCGGGACTGTTTTCTAGAACCCGAAGCATGCGCTTGGATGTGTCTTCTTCGGATCTTTCCCAACCTACTGCACGGGCCGAGCTTCCCTTGCTGGAAACAGCTTCCGAGAATTCAACTGCACAGGCACTTTATCAAATCTCCCGCAACACAAAAAATTGACTTGCACCGACGATCGATGTGTTCATTCGGGATCACCCCAAAAGCCCAAAGCTCCCAGAACACCCCTCTGAAACGTGTGCTCCCGGCGTGCTGCCACCAGGGCTCGGAGGGTCGCCGACAGCCTCCAAGGCTTGGGCTTTCCTTGCTTCGAAGAGCATCCAACACCCGGGGCATTGAGCCCCGCCCGAGAGCTCAAGGTCTTCGGTTTTGGGTGTCTTCCCAACACAGGCGAAATCCACAAGCTGCCCATGAAAGCTTGCAAGAAACTTCGGTATCATCCCATCCACGTGCTGCTGCTTCAACACGAAGGTTCCCACGGTGCTGCTCGGATAAACAAGGTAGATGACGTGGGCCAGTTCGTCTGGATCTTCT